AGCAATTATACAATATACAGCAACTCTCCTGACAAATAAAAACTTAAGTTAGTTCAAAAATGCTTCCTGGTTCCAAAAAAATGGGATAGAGCTATTTGAAGATTGCGCCTTTTAATTATTATCTCAAGAACGCTTCTATTTAGATAAATAAAAGCTAATTTTCTACAAAAATAGATTTGAATTTTTTTCGTTTTTTCGTCATGAGAGTTAAATTAATAGGTACCTTAATTAATTTTATAAATAATCTTTTGTTTCAATATAGTCAGCACACAATTCCAAAAAAAAAAGTTTGGGAAAAAAGCAAAAAATCAAAATTGAATCAAAGTACTAACAAAGAACTACATAGTATCAAAGATGGATAGTTACCAAAGATGCTTGATGTGATGACATAAGTCTTCATGCATAAATTTGCCTTTTTGTTTAGGGACCGCCGAATTCTTGTAAAAGTTATTTCTTAATTCGTTGCAAGCATCTTGTATCTTAAACAGGGTTGAGCACGAATTTGTATCGAAATGGAATAAACAAATGCTTTTATATAACACAAACACAATAATCGCATCGACTCAAATCCGGCGACCTTGCTGGCCAAACAACTGGACCGTCTTTTCCAATCCAGTGATCATCGTAGTTATTATCAATAAAGTGTCGTACATTCCTGCTAAAGTAGTTAAAATGGGCCAGAAAGTCGTCATGTAGGAACTATAAGTTTTGACAAATTTTTAAAGGCATATTATCTAATAAGTCAGGTTAATAATTTTGCAGGAAATGTAAGTAATGAACACCATTTAAACGACTAGGTAATTCCATAGATTCAAGTAGATAATTGTCAATTACTTCTATCCAGATGTTTATGCTAAACCTATGCTAATGCTTAAATTCTTGAATACCGTGAGAATTGCCACCAACGTGAGAACAATAATGTGTATTATTTACAACAAAAATTTCATTCTTTGTAAATATACCTTTCATGCAAAACAAAATGTGTCTGAAAAAATCTTTATTTTGATTTTGTAACCGTCCAGCGAATTCTTCACAAGCAGCGAAATCTCCTTGTAGCAGTGCTTGTACCTTCTTAAAATGAAAAGGACATAAATTTTTGATGGATTCGACCGTTACTTGATGGAAATTCATTTTATGTAACAATAAAACACTGAAAACTTTGTTTTCAAACTTCCACAAAAATCCGTAAATACTGTTTTAAATCGTATACAGACGCAAAATATGCTCTATCTCGTAATCTCAACGTTAGTACCGCGAGATACGTGTTCAAAAACCAATAACCATACGAAGAACAATCGCAATGTCAATACCGCGAGTGTGTGCACAGAAGAAATATTGGTAAGGCTTTGCATAAACTTAATTTGCTATTGTCTGTATAACCCTTTACTACATATCCTAATTTATTTGAACCAACCCTATATAATATAGTCCTTATACAATGAAATTCTACTCATAATTTCACATATGTACACCTTTTTGTACAATAGGCACTACAAGAAGAAGAAGGGATCATGGCTATGAAATACAAACTCGTATTGTAAAGGCCAGAGGCTCTTTTAGCGATCATAGCAAGATTCTCAGCAAGTTACCTTTAAATATCATACTGTACGCATACGAATTCTTAGATATTACGTCGTTAGTGTCTTCCTTTACAGAGTGGCAAGCTAAAGTCTTACAAAAGATGCCATAACACTATTATAGACATTTAAAATGTGCTGATACTGACGTATGTTAAGAGTCTCATGTTTAAATCACACAACTACCAAATTGTTTTCTATAGGCTAGGAGAATACAAAGGCATTATTAACATAAATGGCAAGAGAGGTCCCGAATTTTAGGAAAATGATTGGTCGGTCTAACGTCAACTGATCTATTTATAGCTGGCGTCAATCGGAAAAGATGGGTCGATGTGATCGCCAACTTCATTAGAAGATCGATAACTTTAAAAGAAGAAGATTGCAATCTGCAAATCCTCATTTCATGACTGTGAACTCAATAAACATAAATAACAAGAGGTGCAGAGGCCAAATTGCAGATAGACACTTAAAACCAAACAAAAGGAGCAAAAATATACGAAATACATATAAACAACATACGTTATGCAGATAAAATCGGCAAATTCGAAGATAATTATTTAATTAACACGGATTTCTTAATGACATGGACAGAATAGAAAAAGGCCTCCTAATCAGTAATGTTAAATAAAGTTTATAATCATCAGAGAATAACATAACTAGACCTAAATATGAGAGAATATTAAACTTTGGAAAGACTTAAGTTCAAACACATTTTATGCACTATAAATGATAAGTTAGATATTGATGTCTGAATGAAAATACCGTAAAAGACCATATATTTTGGTCGTTCCCTTTTCTCTATACTACTAAGCTTAAAAAGAAACACTTTTTGATTACGATGAAGGACAATGTCTACTAAAACTACCGTAAAAATTCATTAATGCAAATTATGTACAAATTCCAAACTCACCGTTAAATTATTTGTCGTATTTACACCAGAACGTCTGCGACTTGTATTAGATTAGAAAATATAATTTGAGCATTTCCTGATAACGAATTTTATGATTACACCTGGTGGAACAGAGAGGGAGAGATAAATGTATCTACGTTTACCTACAATTAGGAACACACGTAATGTGGAGTGGAGGGTATGGTGCGAAATGTGTTTGCGAAACTTTAATAAACTGATAAGATAAAGACAAGTACCCACTTACTGTGTGACTATCCGTTTAAGCAGCATTCTGGTGAAAATGCAGATATTAACTATAAACTCGAGATAATAAATATAAAAATTTTGTAATACTCTGCTTCTTTCGTTCCGATAATATCAATATTGCATGTAGATCTTCGGTTTCCTGTTAGTTAAAATGTAGTTCTTAATTTTTGACAGCACAGTACCCTCATTATATTTTCAAATAGAGGATTATCTCTTACAGAGTGATCTGACCATATTTTCTTCCCTGTTTGAGCTAATAGTATGTACAGCTGGTTCCTAAAAACATTTTGAAGTTAAATAGATAGACGTTTGACTTTACTGATTATTTACATACTGTCACTGTCACTGTAAAATTTTAAAATTTATCAGATAACTTATGATTATGTTCAACCTCAAAAATGGCTTCACATGCTAGCAAAGAACTAAAAGAAAGAATTGTAACGAAATTAGAAGATCATTGGTCATTATCTGCCGTAGCAAATCATTTTAAGGTAAGCAGAACAACAGATTTAAACATTAATAAAAGATGAAGAAACTCTCGAAAGAAAGCAAGGTTCTGGAAGACCTAAATTATCTATCGCTCATCAAGCGATAGATATCTCATGATTACTTTTTAATCTTGAATTTAACAAAATAGTACCAAGCATTTGAAACTAAGCTCCAGTGATATTATTCAGCAAACCTAATTTTTAATTTAATTAAGTTAAAAATCATGAATCAAATTGTGTGGGTGTGCAATTCTTGTACATCTAAGCTTATTCATTGTCATAAAACTGTCACCTTCATAAAACAAAAACTCAATTAATAACACACATTTCATAAATATATCTCTCGAATAAGTATAAATAACTTTTAAATAATACAATGGTATATAACATCACTTTCATCTAACAAACAATCACACATCTATCTCTACTTCATTGGATCAAATTTATCTCCTCAAGAACTTCCCGTTTACTGTCAAACTACTACAATAGCAGACTTAAATTCTCCATTTAACAATACATGATAGTTTCAACCATGTTCTACCATCCATCAATTAATAGAGTACCGGCATGTAAGTAATGTTTATTTATTTGCTCATTTATTAATTTATTACAATCTAATAGACTATTTTATAACAATTTGTGGGTCTTACTTTGTCAGTTTAAACTTTTTATACCTTTTTATTCATTTTTATTTATTTTGAAAAAAACCACAGACGTGTAATATTGGCATAATTATTGTAATTTATAACATCTAATTTATTTATCTTTATTAGACAACACCCTAATATGGTTTTTTTTATTATTTCAGCATTTATTTAACAATATATCGAGTCCTGAAGATACTTTGCATATTGTAGAAAGTGAAACCGGTCGTCTGAATAGTTAAATTAAATTGATTGTGAGTAAGTCTTATTTATTATTTCTTTACCTATTTTAAATAAGTTAATTGAGTACTTAACTTACATAGTTAGATCTTGGCGTATTCCCAGCCGTAGATATCGTATGAAGGATCGTAGCCAACCATATGAAATGCCTTTAACTCTTCAATATCGGAATAATTTGCTCAAAACCATTAAAATTTTTGATATCAGTCGAAATAAAACCCCAAGAAACATCCTAGACATAGGAACACCAGAAATAACTATAACAATATCTCTAAAGAGGAATCTCGACCTCAAATTCCCGAAATCCTAAAAGTTACCTTCGCCAATTTAGAAGACCTACAGGATAAATATCAGTCCTAGACCTAACTGCGTTATTTCTAAGCAGAATAACCAGAACTCATTATCCTACAAAAAGACGTGGCTACTTCTCCTATAAAATGGAGTGTCTATTTTAAAAACCTTTACAAAATATTTTTAAGAATCGAAATTGACTTTGACAGATGCTAAATGACTAGCAGAGTACCCTTGAAAGATATAATTTTCCACTATTGATAGAGCATTGGACAAAAATAATTTTAGCTTATTGGTTTCTGTCGTTTGTTCTATCCTCCATTATGATCAAAATCAAATTAAAATTCTAATTAATAAATTGTCAAATCAACAGCAAAAATATATTTCAATAGTTTTTACAATATAACAATTACTTAGTAAATTTTAACATTACAATTTCATTTTTTGATTATTATCAATATAGCGTAAAATATTTGATTATGTTACATAGCATTAAAGATAAAACAAATAGTATAAAATTAAGCGTAGCTTATTATACTTATAGTAAATAAATAAAATATTTTGATTAATTTAGTAATAATCACAAACAAAAATATTTTTGGTGTTACTTTTTCTTTCGAAAACAAAGTCTAGCTAGAGTTTTGTATATTGGAATAGTGGCCAGCCCAAATAAGGTATATTTGAGGGTATAGTGCAGCAGAGTTAACCTAAAACAGAGCAAAATATTTATTGTAAGCTTCTTTTTATATTTAAAAAGAAAAAGAAAATATCGCACCCGTCGAGGAATACAGTAACATCTCTAAATTTGTAAATATGACTTTATTACTCCATTCAACTCGAGTTTTTGAGTAAATTATGCGCAAAAGACTGAGATAATATTGCTTCAATGGTAGATCGGGTGATGGCGCTTGTTACACTTTTGCCATTGTGGGAAAACCCTCCTGCGTCCGTAGAATACTATATCTATATCCAACCAGTCACTCTAGGACTGCCAAACAATTCGCTCAAGCTCCTTTAGAAGCTACGGTGTTTCGAGGACGATTATTATACATTTTTACTTTATTATTGAGAAGTAGCATTGTGTCACGGATGATTATGGTATATTTTAAGTGGGTTATAATAACAAGTATCATTTTCAATTTGTTACTAAAAAGAGTTTGCTAAGTGCAAAACTTTTGAAGATGGTTAACCTTAAATTGCCAAATTAAAAACTTATTGTTTCAAAAATACAACACGATAATAATACAATAGTAAAAGAGCAGTATTCCGTTAAAGATGGAGCTTTTGGTACCTTTTCCTTTCGAGACAGACAATATTTTTACGATTAGGGGTGCCTATGTTGGACCCCTGCCTATGACGGACCCCCGGCTGTAATTTTAAATAGCGCGCGGTTACATACACATCGCCGGTTGCCGCTTGCGCACGAAGTTTGTAGTTTCGTATTTGCAAAGTTTCAGACACGTGGCTGTTATAATAGTAAATTTGTGAAATAAAATTAAAATTTGGCGTTGCTGATCTAATAAATTTTTTTGGTAAGTAGCATTTTACTGGTAACATACGTTAAGCTAAGTGTTGCTTTTGTTTTGTATAAAATGTCTACACTTTCTTTGTCAAATACTATACTTTGTTTTAGGTTAAAATGGTCAAAACAAAAGTAACAGAATTAAATTTGCTGCCTTGTCTATTTGCCTATGATGGACCCCTGTGTCGTTACCTATGACGGACTAGGGGTCCATCATAGGAAAATGAAAATAAAATTGGACACACCTTCAGTTTTTGTTACTTAATGATTAATATAATATGTTTTACAGGGATGGCTCTACAAAAAAGGCAACAGTGGAACGAGAGTAATATGCAACAAGCTTTAAAAAGCACACAAGAAAAAACTATGGGGTTTAAGCTGGCAGCAAAAACATTTAACATTCCAAAAACGACTTTAAAATGTTTTATTAAGCATCAAGGAAGTATCAAAGGTGATTTGGGAGGACGAAGACCAATATTCTCCACTACTATTGAACAGGAAGTTGCTGACCATATTATTACTATGGAAACTCGTTTTTTTGGCCTGACTAGTAAAGATTTGCGAACTCTTGTATACGAAGTAGCTGAAAGAAACAATATTAGCCACAATTTTAATAAGGAAACCAGGATGGTAGGCTGGAAATGGGTCAGAGGCTTTTTAAAGCGAAATCCTCGAATATCATTACGCACTCCAGAAAATACTTCGTTCGCAAGGGCTCAAGCTTTTAATAAACCAAATATATGTGCCTATTTTACTGCATTAGCAAATATATTAGACGAGTTTCACTTTCCACCGGAAAACATTTATAATATGGACGAGTCCGGTTTGACAACTGTGCAAAAGAAATCGCAGAAAATTTATGCTAGTAAAGGTCACAAACAAGTTGGTGCTTTAAGTAGTGCAGAGCGCGGTCTACATGTTACGGTAGTATGTGCAATGAATGCAATTGGAACATATGTTCCTCCTGCTTTGATTTTTCCTCGACAGAGAAAGAAAGATGAACTTATGATCGATGCACCTACTGGAAGTATAGACTTCGCTCAAGAAAAAGGATGAATGACTTCCGATATTTTCTATTTGTGGCTGCAACATTTTTTAAGGTATACAAAGGCTTCTAAAACCAACAAAGTTTTGTTGTTACTCGATGGCCATGGTAGTCACAAAAGTTTTGAAGCTCTCCAGTTTGCAAAGGAAAACGGTACCTATTATTATGTTTTGTTTTCCTGCTCACTGTTCTCATCACGTTCAACCCTTGGACGTAGGATTTTTTAGACCACTTCAAATTTACTACGGCCAAGAAATTCAATTATGGCTGCGACAGAATCCAGGTAAAACGGTGACCCAATTTAAAGTAGCCAGTCTCTTTAATAGAGCGTATTTAAAAAGTGCTTCAAATATGCAATCAATGCAATTAAAAAGACAGGAATACAACCATTCAATCCAGATGTATTCGAGGATTTGCAAATTTTGCCGTCTATAACAACAGATAGAGAAAATTCTGAACAAAACCCACTGCCAGAATGTTCTGACCAGAAGTCACCACCGGAACATTGGAGCCAAAATGTTTCTTCGATTGAAAGTTTATCAAAAAGCCTCACTGATCAGAAATCAACATCATCGTCAGTTCTAAACATCTCGGTAGAAGATATTTGTCCTCCTCCTTTATCTGGAGTATCTCAAGTAATGCAGAAAAGGGGTAGAAAACGGGGTAAAACAGGATATTTAAATTCAACGCCAGAAATTGAAGATGTAAAACAAAAAATTGCAGACAAAGAAGCAAAAAAAGGAAACAAGACGCCAGAAAAGTGAAAAGGCAAGTTCGTGTTTCAACTACAAGTGGTTCTGAAGACGATTGTGAATGCTCTTTTGTAGAAGGCGACTCGGACGATGCAGCTTGCATCTACTGTAGCGAACTATTTTCGCATTCACAATCCAATGAAAAATGGATTCGTTGTCAAGTGTGTAAGAATTGGTGTCACAATGAATGTGCAGATGTAAATCCTCGACATAAACAATTTGTGTGTGAATTGTGCGCGTAATTTTTTTATTCCTAAAAATACCATGTGTAATATTTTTTATCGTTTGTAATGTCTTTTGGTCTAATAAAATAATTTGGTATTTAATTATTTTACACAAAATTCAACGAGTCCATCATGGGCGTACCAAAGGGTCCATTATGAGCGCATATATGCCCATGATGAACCCTTAACAGGATTTTAGTAAATTATGAACACATTTTTAACATCTTTTTTTCTGCAAAATTTGAAACATTTGCCATACTGTAAAAATAACGAGACGTTATGTGGTCATATTTAAAGTCTGATAAGTAAATAATTAAAATTATTATGAAGCTATTTTCTTAAGGGGACCATCATAGGCACATTTCCCCTATTAACTAGGACACTAGGACTAGACCATTTAGTAATTGCTGAAGCCATAAAGATCGGAGTGGAAGGTCTTTAGTTTAAGACGAAATTGTCGAAAAAAATTAAAAGATATTGCTTAAAGATAGGTTTATCATTAACAATCTTTCCGTGCGTATTCCTGACACTTCCTTTAGTGTACCCAGCAGTTTTTGCAACGATGTGAGAACAACAAGGAAGCATTTTTGGATTCCATTATTACAGTCGACGAAACATGGCTGTTTCACTTTACACCAGACACCAACACGTACATGGTGTCACTCATAAGTGTAAACAAACGTAGTCTGTTGGTAAAGTCATCGCAACCGTCTTTTGAGACAGGAAGGGCCTACTGTTAATGGACATTTTGCCTTAAGCAACAACAGTTAACTCTGACCGATATTGCGAGGACACCAAATAGACTGTCCACTGTTGTGGCTTTTCCATGAAATCACTCGACCTCATGTCTCACATTAAACTGAACAACGGTTGAAAGATTTTGGCAGGATCATTGTACCTCATCCCTTTACAGTCCAGAACTAGCACCAAGTGATTATGATTATGCTTCAGTACCGATGATGAAGTCAAGGAAGATGAACTCGATTTTTTAAAACATTGGCGCTAAAAATTGTATAACATGGGGATAAAAACGTTGAGCAGAATCTGAAAAAGTGTTTGGACAGAAAGGGCGATTATGTAAAATAATAGCGCAAGTTTTATAAGCTTTAAAACGATCTATAATATAAAGAACCAAAATAAAGCTGTCTATTTTCAAATTTAATGGAAGCTTATTTTACGAATGGCCTCGTATTATATAGTATTTTTTATGTTTTACCTCTGGTACCGTTGCCTATGTAATTTGGCTTTCGCCATGTCTTCTTTTAAGATATATTTTTTCAGTCCAAGCATCATGTTCCTCATATAATTATTAAAATCCACTGAATTGACGTTAAAATTAAAAATTTCCCTCTCTTCTTGACTGATATTCGACCACAATGTTGCTACATTGTCGTTATGGATGTCCCATTCATGTAGAAGGAAGTAGCTCAGAATATCAGATGTCTTTTCGATTTTTGTATATACGCTTTTCATTCTAAAAAAATAATTAAATGTTGACATAAAATATCTTTATTTTCAAATAATAAACGTACAGGGTTTCTCATTATATTTTGACCCCCCACTTATTTTCCTTAATTTCGGGAATACAAAAAAGAGTTTCAAATAAAAGTTGCATTATTTTATCTGTACCGAACAACAGTGTAGCAACAGACCAAATTTTGTATACAGGGAGTGCCCAATACAATGCATCTTCAATATTTCAAATGAGACACCCTGTATTTTTTATAGTTTTGAGTAGCCCTGCATTTTATGATTACAAATATGTAACATAGTGTAGCATTAGTTTTGTTCTATAATGGCGTATGGTACTACTATACTATACTAAGATAAAAAAATATATTTAAAAAGTCAACAAAATTAATGACTTACAATACTACATTTTAGATACAATACTACATTTAAGATACAATACTACATTTAGGATTACAATAGATTCTTAAAGTGCCCTCCATTGTTATCAGTCCACAAGTAATATCTTCGTCTCAAATTTTCTAATGCGTCAGATATTGTGTTATTATGACCATGTAAATTTTCAATCTTCGCGCGAACTTTTGCCGTGATAGTGTTAATAATGTATTTGAATCAAAATACACTTTTTCTTTTGAAACCGCCCACAAAAAGCTATCACATAGTGTTAAGTCGGGACTATTTGGTGGCCATGTAA